TAATAACCTCGTATTATTATACATCTGTCACCTTAACGTCATAAGTTACAGCGTGCTATATTTTTGCGTGTTGCACTGAGTATTTCCACCCTACGATATTAAGGAACGCGAATTTCAAATATGGAACGATTGTGCGCGTAAGAGTCCTCTAATAATAAAAACAAATATGACTGCCCTCTGGGTAGGACGCCACACAAAGAAATTCGCTAAATCTGTTCTAATTGTTTTGGATTTCGGCATTCCCATGATGTACTCGTGGGAGGAAAATATGTATAATAAAAAGGTTATTACGAGGATACTGCAAGATATGCACTTAGACAGTATGCCGTCGCATAGACCTCCGCTGCACATCGGTCGATATGAATACTACCGCTGTACTGTCATCGCGTATATTTTTCAGTATCCTAATAACCTCATAAAGATTGGTCAATAACATAAAACAATGCCGTAGATGCTTGTTGGTGACAATGGCAAAGTTCGATTGCGAGAACAAGGAGAAAAAACACACGTAATATTGCACGAGTCACGAATAGGCAGAAACACTATAGAAACAACCTGGAAGCAATACTCTATAACCGGCTCATGACTTCAAACGGGACCCCGATCGCACACATTTGAAGACGAGGGAAGTAGTCACATGGGCATGCGGCAGACGACCATAGCGTATCGTTGCATACAACAAACCCCTACCCATGAGCCTTTGCGTTTTAGCATGCGTTGTTTGGACTCAATTCTAGACGTGACCGTGGTAAACTATACTAACCGTCAACAATAGTAAGTAGATCAGTTCGATTCAAGTCCCAATGATGCAATTTGCCCAAGCAATTGCCTGATTGCTATGGTTGCTATGGAGAATCGGGCAGGCGAAGTGTCCATCAATGTTGGTTGTTGGAGCACCAGCACCACTATCACTAGGGTAAGGCTAATTGAATAATCTTCGCTGAACTGTGCGTCAGATCACGTGACCCGGCTGGACGTGATTGACCGCAGATACTGACAACCCGCCATTTTGCAATGAGCATAAAAATGCGATTCCGGAAGTTCCTAAATGCGCATGTGTTTTGACATTAGATCAGGTGATCCTGAAGCAGACGCTCGACTGGACGTACGTCCATGCGGTAATTATACAGCCAAAACAAAGTCAGCTTGGACGTTCACTTGTGAGACATGACAAACACAGCCAGTGAT